TGCCCAGTCCTGAGAGAGAGAGAGAGCAGGGCATCCTCAGGGGGTCCCCAAGCAGGGGCAGAGGGCTTGGAGGGCCTGCGCCCACCAACTGTCACCTCTGCAGCCCCGGTGGGGGCCCAGCACGTCACTGCTGTAGCACGCACTTACCCGCACACGCACGAGTGCACACGCAGACCACACGGACGGCATCGGGCACTGGGCAGGAGAAGCACCAGCTGCCCCAAAAGTGCTCTGTCTGCTCCACACACGCCCACCTGCCCGCCAGGCGCCAGTCCTGATGAGCCTCCAGGCAGGGCCCGGGGACCAGGAAACTGGGGAACTCAATGGCCGGGGTGCCCCAGGAAAAGTGCTCCGTGGGGTGGGGAGGGCTTGGCTTCCTGCAGATGGCAGACACTTGTGATAAGTGTTGGACAACTGTGAGGCAGACCATCAGGCAGAGGGGGCTTGGCAGAAATAGAGATTTAGACGGCCTGCTTCAGAACAGTCAGTGACGCTGAGCCGCCTCAGGGCAGGGACTAGAAGGTTCTGGGCATTTGGGCACGAGAGGGAAGGGGACCCTGGAGACTGGGTGGGAAGGAGAGGCACCCAGCTGCCAGCCACGTAGGAACCGCACCATCTGCCCCACACAGACAGGGAAACTGAGGCTCAGCTGACTTGTTTCTCTTGCCCAGAACCCAGGGTCAGGGCGTGGTAGAGCCAGGACTCAAAGACCCTCCTACCCCAGTCACGGCTCCAGGACCCTCACACCCCTGTCATAATATTTGTGCTAAGTTGCCTTGATGATTTTTAAACCCCTGGCCTTGGGGCCACCTGTCCCTTGCAGGCACCATGAACTCACATGGCCACCCCGCTCCCCTCCTGACTCTTCCACCAGAACACAGCTCACGTTTCCAGAGAGCTGGCCAATGGCAGAGCGGAGACTGGGAGTACGCGGGGCAGGGATGCTGATATCAAGGCTCAGCAGACCTGGAGCTCGACCTCGGGATCCGACAGCCGGGAGACGCTGTGAGCACAGGCAGGTGCCAGGCAGAGAGCGCCTCCTCCTCTCACACAGGCACATGTGTTGCTCTATTTTTAAGATTCCTTCTTGGAAGGCAGCAGTCCTGGAACATGTGCGATTTCTATGTTGTGGGAGCTCAACTCTGTGAAATATGCACATTGCATCCCTGCATCTCAATCACAGTCAACCCCACCCACCTCCCCATGTATAATAACAGTGAAGATAAAGGACGCAGGTTGAAGCCACTGAGTTCTGGGTGCTTTGTTACGCAGCACAGGTAACTGAAGCAGCTATGATTATGAACTTGGTTAATGTTTTAATTTCCATAAGAAAGTTTCTTGTCCAGTAATAGGCTGGCAGTCAGTTGAGGGAGGGGCCGTGCCTACAGAGGGGCGGTGCCTGCGTGCGGGAGCCCTCTGGACCTGTGCCCAGGAGGAACTCAGCTGGTGACTACTCGTCCTATCGGTTCAGCAGAAATCCACAAGGCACCAAGTGTGTCCTGGGCAGTGTTGGGGACATGGGAAAAGATAGAAAAGAAAACAAACAGGTGTCCCTCAGCCTCCGTCCTGATGGAGTAGCCAGCTCTGCTGGGAGCTGAGTGGGCCCAGTTCCCAGACCTTGGACTTCCTGCTTTAAAACAAGGAGAGTCCTGGAAACCCACGGTGAGGAGGTGAGGACCTTCCCTGACCTTCCCCGTCTGCCATTCTAGGGCGTCTGCAGCACCATGGGAGGAGCTCCCCGGGGCAGCGTTGGTGGCCCTTGGGACTGGGATGTGACCTTGCTATGTCACACAAGCACATAGAGTGGAAATCACCCCCGCACGGCTGCATCCAACAAACCCAGAACTCTGAGGGGATCTTGGCCCTTGCTGCACAGGGGACAGGCCAGCTCCAGCACCTGAAGGGCCTGAGCCAGGGCAGGAGACGGAGACCTATGACTCTCCAGAGGTCTGGAGCAGCTCACAGCTCAGTGCTTACACCCCAGAGCCATGCTCTCCAAGGCTGAGCCAGGCTACAGTGTGCTGGGTTGGGGTCCTGCAAGCTCCTCGCCACCACTTTCCTTAAAGAATCAGTTGCTTGGGGGCTGGCATGTAGCTCAGGGCTAGAGCACCTGCCTACCACATGCAAGGCCCTGTGTTCCATCCAGAGCACTGGGAGAATCAGCTGATTGTGGTGCTGAGCCTTTCTGGCTCTACCAGGGAAGAACAGCCCAGAGTATGGTCACCAGGTCCCAGGACAGCCTGCTGCCTACTTTGTGTAGAGCAAACATCCTTCTCCAGGGACATTTTTCTAGGTGGCTTTAAGCAAATGCCTCGTCATAATATTTGTGCTAAGTTGCCTTCATGATTTTTAAACTCCTGTGTTAGCACCGAACAAAAGCTTCAAGAGAAGCTCAGCCAAAGGTCAAGCTGGAAACAAACCGTTTGCCTGTGCAGCTGCAGCCCCGGGCTAGAAAGGGCTGGGGGTTCCTCTAGGGGCTCCTGACAGATGTGGCCAGATGGCACGGTCCTCGGGCAGACCCAGCTGTGACTGCAGCCCTGAGAGGCAGTGAGTGGCCAGCACCACCACCTCTAGTGTTGGTGGACACTCAGGTCCCAGCCCATGCTTGCTTCTGTGGCCAGTGGGAAGTGCTTTACAAAGACAAGCCCAGTTTGATCCAGTGGAGCTTTCAGGCCGATTTTGCTAAACTGGGCATGTGCCTCATATCCTGCAAAATTGATGCACAATCCACTCAACACCCTTCACTCCAGATGAGACCCGTGAGCATCAGCCTTGTCCCAGGGAGTGCTAATTTGTCACTCCCCAGTTCTGCAGGTGAGTTGAGGCCCAGAGAATTTATTTATTTTTTTAGATGAGGGATTGATCCCAGGGACATTTAACCACTGAGCCACATCCCTAGGCACCTCTCTCTCTCTCTCTCTCTCTCTCTCTCTATATATATATATATATATATATACACACACACACACACACACTTTATTTAGAGACAGGGTCTCACTGTATTGCTTAGGGCCTTGCTAAGTTGCTAAGGTTGGCTTTGAACTTACCATCCTCCTGCCTCAGCCTCCTGGGCTGCTGGGATTACAGGCATGTACCACAGTGCTCAGCAGAGAAGTTAAACATTAAGGGCCACAACTTGATCCTTACTGTCCATCTCCAAGCCTGTGATATGAACTGTGAACAAAGGGACCATTTGTGTTTTCTTTGAACTGAAGATCAATTGTTTACGTGTTTGTTTTTATGTGCTAAGACACCTTGACGAGGACATCACACTTTGGTAGAGCAGGCAGGCCCAGTGCAGGCAGAACACAGAAGTGTGCACATGGGCCAGCAGAGCCATTGCCAGCAGCCAGAGTGTCTCCCTGATGGCCGAATCTGGGCCCATAGTCTGGGCAGGGTTTGCTGTCCACCTCCCCTTCTCTCAGTACCCTGTGACTCCCCCAGCCTGCTGATTTCCAATTTCCAACACAGCAGATGCAACCAGCTGGCCCATGAGGGACAGGGACAGGCCCCTGGGCTGTCCTCCTGACCTTGGACACCCCAGGATCCAGGGTAGGTTCTTAGGAGGAGGGGAGCAGGGGAAGGGTCAGGGAGGGCCCAGGGGAAGACATGGGTGTGGCCCTGGGCAAGCTCATGCCTGGTTGCTCTTGCCAGAACCCCTGCAGGGGAGGACTTGGGGAAGCTCAAAGAGCTTGCCCTCCAGTGGCCAAGCTAGGGGGAGAGGCAACCTGTGGAAGGCTGGGGGCGGGGGTGGAGGGTGCCCAGGATTGCACCACTCCCCAGGGCAAATGCCCCTCCCCATCACACACTGCCCCCTAAACCCTGCAGGGCAGGGCTCTGATCAGATCCAGGTGGTGGCAGTGGCCCAGAGGGTGCCCATTCACACCCCTCCAGCGCCAGACGGCCCAGAGGACCCCTCTGCCAGGGGAACAGGACTGAGCCCGCATGGCGAGGAGTGTTGCTCTGTCAGCCTGCTTTCCGTCCCCCCACCCTGGGACCCTGTTCAACCCCTTCCAGACTGAAGAGTAGTGGAGCCTGTCTGGTGCTCAGCCTCTGGCACCCATGGGCACTGGGGAGGGAGGAGGGCTCAGCCAGCCAGTGCAGAGGCCCAGTCCCGCCAGCGGGAAGCCTCCTCACCCAGCTCTCCCCACTAAGACCTCTTCCTGCTCAGCCAGCTGGAAGCCACGGGGGGCTTTCTGGGAGGCTTGCTGGGGGGCTGAAAAGTTTGGAGAGACTGGAAAGAGGCTGTGCTGCCTGGGGCGGTGTGACTGGAAAGACCCATTCCTCAATACCCCTTCGCACCGGAATCCCGGTTCCTTGGGCTCACCGAGTCCAGACCGCCCCTGACGGCACGCAGGGGCGGCCGTCAGGCTGCGGGGAGGGGACAGCGGCTGGGGCTGCCTCCCTCCTCCTCCACCGCCCCTCACCGCAGGGCGCGCCGCGCAGCCGCCAACTCAGTGGAGACGCGAGGAGCCGGGAGGGCGCGGGCGCGGCAGGAGGTGTGCGGAGCCTGGGTGCGCGGAGAGCGAGGCAGGAGAGCGCGAACGAGGGAAGCGAGCGCGCCGGCAGCGGTGCGTGCGTTCCGCTGGCGCCACGGGCTCTCCCGCGAAGCCCGAACCGGGCCTGGTGCTGTGCTCGGGGACCGCGCTGCCTCCCCGGAGCCCCGGTGACCGCAGAGACTGGAGATCGCAGGCAGCCCCCAGCCCGGCAAACGCAGAGCCTGGAAGGAGCCTGAGGAACCGCAGAGTGCGGACCCAGGAACACAGAGCTGGGAATCCGGAGAGCTGAGCCCCGAGCCCGGGGAGCCCCGGGCGAGCGCGAGCCGAGCTCTCCCAGGGCAGCACGGTCGGCGTCCAGCGCTTCCTGACTGGACGGCGCGCCTCCTCGCCTCTGCACCCTCCCCCGGCTCCTCTTCATCTGCCCTGCCTGAGGCGCGCCCACCCTTGCCTGGACTTCCAGCCCCAGAGGAGCAGGACAAAGCCGCGGACCCCGCGCCCACCATGCGCCTCAACAGCTCCGTGCCAGGCAGCGCTGGTGCGCCGGTGGCCGACTTCTTCCAGCAGCCGCAGTCAGAGGTGGAGGCAGCGCTCCTGACCCCGAGCTTGGTCAACGGCTCCGGCAACGTGTCCCAGCGCAGCCTCCCTGCGCCCAGCAGCGACCTGGACGTAAACACCGACATCTACTCCAAGGTGCTGGTGACCGCAGTGTACCTGGCACTCTTCGTGGTGGGCACCGTGGGCAACTCAGTGACAGCGTTCACACTTGCCCGCAAGAAGTCCCTGCAGAACCTGCAGAGCACGGTGCACTACCACCTGGGCAGCCTGGCGCTGTCGGACCTGCTCATCCTGCTGCTGGCCATGCCGGTGGAGCTGTACAACTTCATCTGGGTGCACCACCCCTGGGCCTTTGGCGACGCTGTCTGCCGGGGCTACTACTTCCTGCGGGATGCCTGCACCTATGCCACCGCTCTCAACGTGGCCAGCCTGAGCGTGGAGCGATACCTGGCCATCTGCCACCCCTTCAAGGCCAAGACCCTCATGTCCCGCAGCCGCACCAAGAAGTTCATCAGCGCTATCTGGCTGGCCTCAGGGCTCCTGGCCGTGCCCATGCTCTTCACCATGGGCCAGCAGAACCGCAGTGCTGACGGCCAGCACCCCGGAGGCCTGGTGTGCACACCCATCGTGGACACTGCCACCGTCAAGGTCGTCATCCAGGTGAGTGCCTCAGGAGAGAAGGGCAGGAGGAAATGGGCCTCATTAGCCCCTCTCCGGGAGCCTGAGCACTTCCCTTTCTTTCGCCAAAGTAGTTTCCCATGGTGTGCCCTCTGGGTGCCAAGGCCCAGAGAGCGGTCACTGAGAAAGGCCACTCCTGGGAGGCTGGGAGGGAGCAAGGGTGCCTCAGAGCAGCCCAACTCCTTCCCACTTCTCAGGCCAGCGTGGCCAGCCCCACGCCCCCTCAATCCCTCCTTCCACTGAAAGGGCCTGGAGCCCCAGTGGGTGACCTCCAGGGGGTTCTGAGATCTGACGGAAACCTGAGTGTGCTCTCAGGGAGCGGTCCCTTCATCAGCTTTTCTAAAGGCTGTGTGCCCTCAAGGGCTCCACCCCAGGACTCTGCAGCAGGAGCCCCAGCTGGGCTCCCCCTGGGCTTCTACCCTGCCCTGGCCAAACCCAGGAGGTGGGGCTGAGGTTGATGCCACAGTGGGCTGCTCCCCGTTTAGCCACAGTCCTGCATTCTGTGAAGTGGGGTGATCACAAAGCTGGCTGTCTGAGGGAAGCTGGAGGTCTGCAGGGCCAGGGGCAGAAGCACTCCCCACTGCCCCGATGCTGCTGTGACGGTTGGTGCTGGGAGCTGGAGAGCACTGTGGGGAGCGGGCAGGGCCAGATGGCTACAGGGGGGCCTGAAGGTCTGAGCAGAGCACCCCGGATCTCTGGCTGGAGCCCTCCTTGGAGTGGGTGTGGATGAGGCGGCGGCAGGCTGGGGAGTTCTGCTGGGCCCCAGGTGTGAAGGCCCGAGGTGTGAGGTGGGCGTCCACAGAGGAAGTTGGGCAGAAATGACATTTTGTATGGTGTCTTGAGTCTAGGATGTAGGTGGCCACAAGGTACAGGCTTTCCTCCACCCCTGGGTGGGTAAAGAAGGCAGGGGTGGGGGACCTGGGCAGGGTCTGTGTGCTGTGCCACACTGACAAGGGGCCGGCTGACTGTCCCCATCTGGCTGGCCCTTACCAGCGGAGGCAGCCTCCAACAGAATTCCACAGTTGCCTTGGAAGCCCCAGTATGGTGAGGTGCAGCTTAGGGGACAGAAGTGTCAGGGCAGGGACAGCTGTCATCTGGCTGTCAATCCCTGGGTTTGACCCTCTGCCGGCCACTTCCGACATGCGTCATAGGGGCAGAATAAACTCTTGGTCCCCAATGGCTGCACATAGAACTTGTGGCTCCCAGTGTCCCCACTCAAGGGGCCCTCACTGGGATGCAGGGGACGCGTCTTCTCCAGCAGGGCCCTCCCCACACCAGAGGCAGAAGCAAACAGGATGCCCCATGCGGTGGACGGTGAGAATTACCTTCCCCCTCTGTTTTCCTTCCCCAGGCCCTGTCCATTGTGGGCTCTGCCCGGGGGTGCCCTCCGCATACTCAGTACCGTCCCCTGCAGGTTTGACTTGACATGTCAGTGGCACCTGCCCCAGGAGCTACCTGGGCATAGCCCAGGCCTCCCAGCTCCTGGGCTCCGTCTGGAGCAGCCTGGACTAATCCAATCACCAACAGCAGAGGAGGGATGGGGGGACTGCCTCAGCCCCCATCAGCTATCAGCCCTCAGAAGCATCCTCTCTCTCCTGATGCCTGGACACCTTCCACACTATCCCTTGGCCTCTCCAAGTGCCATTCATCTGGTTTTGTTGCTGGGCAGGTTGGGAGGCCTATTCAGCCTGGTCCTGGTCACTGGTCCCCTTAAGGATGCCTGTTGAGCGTCCACCCTGGGAGGGGCTCCGACTTCAGCAGAGGCAGCTCTGTAAGGTCCACTTAGCGCTCACTGTCCTCCCCGGCACCTCCCTTTCTCTCTGAAGGCCTGGCTGTGTTCTTGTAGCGGCTGATTACAAGGACGCTCTTTCATCTGAGGCTATGACCAGGCTCCCAGAGTCCAGAGCACAGCACAGTGTGCTTGAAAAGCAAGCTCCTGAGAAGAGGCTCTGACCACCCCTCCCAACCGCACCACCGTCCGCCGCCTTAGGAGTGGTTGCGGGGGGATCACTGTGCCCAGTGCCCATGTGAACACCACTCTCTACAGCACCTGGCCCAAGCTGGGGCATCCTTACCCATGCATCTCCCTCTCACTGATCACGTTTGGAAGAGTTAATGTGTTGGCCAATAAAATGGCCCCACCTTCCAAAACAGGAGGCCTCTCCCAGCTTGAGTTTCCCCCACAAGGTCTGCCATCCTCCACATCCATGAGGCTCTGTCCTGGGCATTTGCAAGCAGAAGGTATGTTTGGAAGCAAGCTGGGTGTTGGTGGTGGAGTTTCTGAGCAACTTGGAAGCATCATTGCTGAAGAGAGCCGGCCAGGTGCTTTCTGAGTGCAGCCTGAGTGTGGGGGGCTGGGGGGGGCAGACACAGGGCAGGGTGGCCAGGACATGATGCCAGGCTTCTCCCAAAGGCCAGAGACCCGTGCTGGGGCCAGCAAGGTGGCTGGGAAGAGGAGCTGGGAAATGGGGGACCTACAGGGTGCCCAAGGATTCCTCTAGGACGGTCATGTGGTCCTGACCACATGGCTCCACCTTGAGTCCAAGGTGGTCCTGACATAGTCCAGGCCAGCCTCCTGCTCTGACCTTAGATGTCACAGCTCTGTGTTGCTGGCCTTGGGGCTGGTGGACAGGCGGCAGCTCAGGCAGGTCTTGGGCTCACACAACCAGGGAGTGTGTACTAAGTGTGCACACCTGCATGGGGAAGACGGGCCAGCTGGGGACAGATAGCAGCGGTCTGAGGGAATTGGGTGTCTAGTTCAATCTGCCCAAGGCCTCACTGTACCCCATCCAACCCCCAGCCACAGGGCAGTCCCAGCGCAGCCACCAGCTCTAAGTTCCAGGCCACAAAACTTGACACATGCTGCCCCTACATGGGCTCTCATTTACCTAAGGACAGTGTGAGGGCTAGGAGGCCCTGATCACCTCCAGCCCAGTGTCCTGAGGCCTGGGGCATATGCGCGCACGTCGTGTGTACACACACACAGAGCACACACATGCACTGGGCACCATGCACTGCGTCCAGTCTGGATTCAGTGTCCCTCTGCAGGCAGGGCACAAGCATGTTGCTGCCTTTGTTGTATAAAGGGTGCTCTGGAATAGCCCTCCAGTGAGGGGTAGCACCTGAGTACCGCACATCCGGGTTAATAAAGGAAGAAGGAAGCAGAGCGCAGAAACCACCACATGCAATCCTGGAGCCACCAGCGCAGGTGCTGGTTCTCTGCAGCTGACGTCGCAGAGGACAGAGCGGGTGGGCTGAGTCCAGGTGCTTGTTCACAGCCCTCTCAAAGCCTTCGAGGGAAACATGGAATTCAAGCCTGGCAGAGCCCTTGGATGCAGCTACCGGTTCAGAGTCAGAGGACAGGCAGGGGACAAGGAACAGGGGAGACCCAGCATTAGGATGCCCTCAGCAAAACCCAGGGGCGAGCAGTGCCTAGGGCAACCTGCCAGCTTCCCCTGCGGAGAAACCGAACTGGCAGCCTGCAGTGAAGGCTCTGGGCGGGTGACGGCACCTCCTGGGTGCCCCTGGCTGTTTGTCCTGCAACTACCTGGGTAGAGTTTTAAAAACAGCCCTTATCTCTTGGAGGCACATACAGAGAGATTTACAGACAGAATGCCGTTTACTGTCTGGGCACAGGGACACGGGGGGCTGTGATGAAGCAGACTGGTCGCGAGTCTGCCGTGGTGGAAAGTGGGGATTGATTTTTTGTATATGTTTGAAATGTTTCAAGCTTAAAGTTTTTAGAGCTGGGCACAATGGCCACATCTAGTCCTAGCAATTGGGAGGCTGAGGCAGGAGGACCAAGTGGGCCAGAATTCAAGACCAGTCTTGATCTAAAAAGGGTTTTAAAAAGCCTAAGATGCTCTAGGTGGAGAATCTGGTGTTCGGACAGCAAGTGTCACTGCAAGGCCCTGGGGAGGAGGGGCCACGTGGGGAAGAGGTGGGCTTGTGTCATGGCGCTGGCCCTGGCCTGCCTGTTGGGGCCAGGTGGTAGACACAGGGTGTGCAAGGCAGCCAGGCAGGGTCCACACTTGCATCTGGTGTCCAGAAGGTGGAGCAGAGGCCAGAGCCACCTGTGCCCACCGCGAGGCTGGAGGGGGACACAGCCCAGAGTGCTCAGGCAGGCAGGTCCAGTCTGATCCTCTCAGGTGTGCCGGGTGGAGTGGGGGCACGCAGGCCCAGAGTTGGTGGGGCTGGCTCTGGCCCAGGGGATCTCAGGCGTGAGTGCCTCAGAGCAGCCCAGGGCCTCAGGACCCAAGCATGGGGCACTCCTGCAGTCGCAGTCAGACAAGGTGGTGGCATTCCAAGGACATTCATCTCCAGGAACAAAGGGTCTGGAAGCTCACCCTCGGCTCTGCGGCACAAGCCCCCTAAGTGCCCAGGACGGCAGCCAGGACCGTCGGAGCACGAGCATGCACCGTGTCAGCGAGGCCTGGGACACTGAGAGGCTGGCTGAGAGCCCTCGATGTGATGGCGGAGCTCCCGGGGTCACAAGCAGCACAGGCAGGCCCCTCAGCCAAGCAGGGCAAGGGCAGAGGGGCACTTCAGACCACAAAAACAGTCCCATGTGGTCACCTGTGCTTGTGTTTAAGAGAAGGAAGGTCCTGAGCTTCTTATTTGTTGGGACAGAATCCCCACAGTGTCAGGCGTCCTGTAGCCACCTGCAGACGTCCACATTGACATGGACACTGGTGCTGTTGCTGCTGTCCCCTCCCCATCAAAAACACCCCCTGCCCTGCTCCACCCCCTGCTCCTGCCCCTGCTCCACCCCCTGCTCCTGCCTCTGCTCCTGCCCCTGCCCCACCCCCTGCCCCAGTCCCTGCTCCACCCCCTGCCCCAC